TGCCCCCCCCCCCCCCCTTCTCCTCCCCCTGGCTACGTCACTGATTTCAGAGAATGTAAGGTGCTACACATTGTGCTAAACTTCAATCTCGACACAAGACAACCTCGACTTGCCTCCCGGGAAAATTTTGAAATCTAGAGTTCCTGAAATGTGATTTCAAGGCATTTTGGGTGAAATTTTGCAGAGTTTCGAGGATTATGAAGTACATCAAAGACATGATTTTGTTTACCAGATATTTCTCCTCGGAACTAAATGAATTGCCTGGAAAAGACACCTTGGAAAACTGGAGGAGGGGACCGCGTCGTCTTATTTCACCTCTGTGCCTGGGGGAAGACTCCCAAACTACTGTACTCACATATGTAAAAATCTCACAACTTGTCAACAAGATGTGTTCGCAACAGGCTTGTGGCAAGTTTGTCAACAAGTTGTAACAATGCTGTTATTTTATCAAGTTGCTACAAGGTTGTCACTCACAACTTGTTGACAAATTGTTGAATTGCAGGACGATAACAAGTTGTTAGAACAACTTGTAACAAGACTATTGAGCTCAACAACCTTGTAGCAAGTTGTCAACAAGCCGTTGACAACTTGTCAACAAGCTTGGAACAAGCAGTGCTAACATATCCTGTTGACAAGTTGTTGGAACAACATTGCTACAAGTCTGCTGCAGGTTTGTTACAACTTGTGCGTTTTTACGTGTGTAGCCCGTCTCACAGACCTTATAATTAGTAATGACGCATTTCACGCATTTTTTGAATAAGTATAAAAATGTATGTGTCGAGACTGGTGATTCGTTAGTACAAACTTCAAAAAGGAAATATATCAAAAGCACCCCTAGGTGTGTTTTATCATATTCAGAATGCAAAGGTATTTTAATTAACTGATAAAACACAACTACAAGTGTTGTGAGTGGCTTAACTATAACTCGATGTCAACACGGGAAATTTTCCGCCGCTTGTAAACACGGAAATTTTTCTTATCCTTCGAGCTTTTGACATTGCTATATTATAAAAAAAATATAAAACATTTTTTCCGTATTGATATATAGTTATATCAACACTCGTGGAAGTTGGGAAAACTCGAAATTGTATGAAAACACGACGCCCGAATACAATTTCTCGTTTTCCCAATTTCCACTCGTGTTGATATAACTGTATTATATATCAACACGGAAAATGTTTTATATTTGTTAATCACTAAATGCCTATAATTCCACGTCCAAGAACATTATAATTACACAAAAATATAAAATACAAAATATAAAACAGAAAAATACAAAATATAAAATACAAAATATAAAACACAAAAATACAAAATATAAAACACAAAAATACAAAATATAAAATACAAAAATGTAAAATACAAAAGTAATTTTACTACCATTTTCGAGTTTCCGTGAAGCGCGAGGTGAAGCGTGCATTTATAACTAGGTTTTAAAACGTTTCTTCAGCATGAGTTTGTCATTCAAAACTTTTTATTTCGCTCCTAAAACATTTTGTTTTGACATATTAATAACTTCTGTGGGCGTGGTATAAAACATATTGTTTTGCACGCGAAACTTTGAATTTCGGCGTCAAAACTCAAAAGGGCGCTTGTATTACAGAGGTTTGTTACGTAAACATATCCAGAAGGTGCTATAAATCTGTTATTTCGCTTTCTATAGCAGTTTTGTCAGTATAAAGTCAGTCCGTGTGAAAAATAAGAAATTTTCGCGTGCAAAACAATGTGCTTGACACCACGCCCACAAAAGTTATTATTGCAAAACAAAAAGTTATGATTGACAAACTCATGCTGAAGAAACGTTTTGAAACGCAGTTATAAATGCACGCTCCACGGAAGCTCGAAAATGGTAGTATGCTGTCGCCTCTGGGCTTCTGTACTTCCGCTTTCTTGTGCAAATTCTGCAGTATATATTAACTCTGCTCACTTCATACTAAAATAAACCGACTAAGTTTGTTTTCTAAGCGACCTGAAGCAAAATGGCAACATCTCAACAAGAGGTGGACTGGCAATCGACGAAGAAGACGGTGTTAGAACGAAGTCGTCATATGTTTAATAATCCGTTCATGAGCGATATCGCGTTCAGTTGTGAAGGCTCAGACAAGAAATTCTTCGCACATAAATATGTCCTCGCCACAAGTAGTGCTGTATTTTATGCGATGTTTTACGGCGAGCTGGCAGAGAAGAATTCAGTTGTTCATCTGAGCGATACGGACGAGGAAAGTCTGGAGGAATTTCTACGGTTTCTTTACACGGACCAGTGTAACTTGACAACAGATAATGCCGTGGGTGTATTGTACTTGGCCAAGAAGTATATCGTGCCCTCTCTCGCTCAGAAATGTTTTGAATATTTTGACGCCAACTTCGCAGTAGAAAATGTTTTCATAATTTTACAGCAAGCAATTCAATTTGACGAAAATAAACTTGAGGAGAAATGCTGGAATTTAATAGATTTGAAAACAAGCGAAGCTGTCGCTTCTGATGGATTTTGTGACATTAATCAAGCAACTTTAGTAGAGTTAGCGAAGCGAGAACCGTTGAACGTCGAAGAGGTTGATCTTTTCAAAGCAGTTTTAAAATGGAGCGAAGCGGAATGCTCTAGGAAGGGAATAGAAGCGAATGCAAAGAACAAACGAGCCGCCATGGGAAATGCAATCTATCAAATACGTTTTGCTTCTATGACGCTTCAAGATTTGGCTCAGAATGTTTCCCAGTCGGGTATACTTACACTAGAAGAAATCGTTCTATTCTATGAGAAATTGGGCGGAGCAGAAAAAACGTCCGAAGTATGGAATATGTCAAAAACAAGAGCAAAAGAAGATATCATACTAAGATGTTGCAGATTTGATAGCTATGGCCTTTATGGAATCGAGATCGCAGTGAGCACTTGGGTGGACACACTAGGTATGTCATTTAGTAAGCCAGTGAAATTTTACGGTGTTCGCTTGCTTGGCAGCAAACAGGATGAATACAATGTGAAGTTAGAGGTTTTGTCTCGGATAATTGAACGGAAATTTCTTTCAGAACAGGATAATCGTGGCGCACGTGAAGGGTTTGATGTCATGTTACCAGTACCAACTACGGTTCAAGCTAACGTTCCTGTTAATCTGAAAGCCACCATAACCGGCCGTCGTTACTCTCTTGATAGGGCGTGTGTGAGAAAGACAGTAGAAATAAATGGTATTACTATAAATTTTAAAATGTTGCATACTAACAGTCATTTTGATAAAATTATCTTCAGTGAAATGTTTAAATGAGATGCAACTTTCTTACGATTTTTAAGATAACCGATGGTGTAAACATTGTTAATCACATTTCAATACAAAATGGGAAGAAAATAGATGGAGAAATGGCAAAGAGGTTGACAATAGCTATGCCACAAGGAGATTAAATAGAATATCACTAATTTTGAGGGCTGTAGGGACAAACTGAAAATTAAAACAGGATCAAAACTTGGCATCTTTAGGGGTGACTATTTGATTTTTGATGGACGGGATGCAAAAAATATATTGCAGAAGAAAAAATATTCAGCAATACATTTTTATATGTGCTCAAGAAATGTAAAAACCGGCCCTCCTGCCCCATCAAAAATTAAAAGTTGAAGTCCTGTTAGGGGTTTTACGTATAAGCTATACTTTTCCAAACTATTTTAGTTATAAAGTATTAAAAACGATGGACTTTGGGGTATAAATTACAAACTATTACTGACGACTCTTCAAAATAGATATTTTGTGTTGCATTTAATTGTGATATTAATTGTCAATAGTGACCAACAGTGGTCAATAGTTATCGCTTCTAATGTCTCTAATTCGACTATCGATCAGACCTCGAGGTCGATCAGACCTCTAGTGTCTCTGGTAGTCGTGGATGGGGCTTTGTTTATTGTGTTTACACTACTGATATCAACATACTACATGATTTTCGTGAATGAATGAGCGTGCTTATATGAGCATACCGGATTTTGGTTTGCTTATGAGAACGCCCGTATATATACCAAAACACTGTAATATGCTGCTGAGCATGTGTATGAGCATACTGCAAAACTTTAGGTATTCGTTATAGCGACGGCGGTTTGTGGCTTTCACGAATATCGGATTTCGCCATACCTTGCAGCCTAGGCGGTTTGTCGCTATTACGAATACGGAATATCGGATTTCGCCATACCTTGCAGCCCAGGCGGTTTGTGGTTATAAAGGATTTCGGCATATCTTATAGCCACGACGGTTTCTGGCTGTGAATGATTAAAATGACATACATGCCATTTAATAGTTGAAAATCTAAGATGAATCCATTCTTTTTGGAACCATATATAGAAACGCCTTTGCGAGATTTTACACATCAACCTCCTCCAGTAAATCATCGTTGTCCTAAATCGAAACTTAGTCTGCGATTGGAAGGGCGGTCGTCTCCCCTCCCTCGCCTCCCCCAGCCTCCCCGGCCCTGGCTACGCCACTCATTTCAGAGAATGTAAGGTGATGCACATTGTCATAAACTTCAATCTCGACACAAGACAACCTCGACTTGCCTCCCGGGAAAATTTTGAAATCTAGAGTCCCTGAAATGTGATTTCAAGGCATTTTGGGGTGAAATTTTGCAGAGTTTCGAAGATTATGAAGTACATCAAAAACATGATTTTGTTTACCAGATATTTCTCCTCGGAACTAAATAGATTGCCTGGAAAACACACCTTGGAAAACTGGAGGAGGGGACCGCGTCGTCTTACTTCACCTCTGTGCGTGATGCTGGGGGGAGACTCCCAAACTACTCTACTACACGTAAAAATCTCACAACTTGTCAACAAGATGTGTTCGCAACAGGCTTGTGGCAAGCTTGTCAACAAGTTGTAACAATGCTGTTATTTTATCAAGTTGCTACAGGGTTGTCACTCACAACTTGTCGTGAAATTGTTGAATTGCAGGACGATAACAAGTTGTTAGAACAACTTGCAACAAGACTATGGAGCTCAACAACCTTGTAGCAAGTTATCAACAACCCGGGAACAACTTGTCAACAAGCTGGGAACAAGCAGTGCTAACATATCCTGTTGACAAGTTGTTGGAACAACATTGCTACAAGTCTGCTGCAGGTTTGTTACAACTTGTGCGTTTTTACGTATGTAGCCCGTCTCACAGACCTTACAATTAGTAATGACGCATTTCACGCATTTTTTTGAATAAGTATAAAAATGTATGTGTCGAGACTGGTCATTCGTTAATACAAACTCAGTCAAAAAGGAAATATATCAAAAGCACGCCTAGGTGTGTTTTATCATATTTAGAATGCAAAGGCATTTTAATTAACTGATAAAACACAACTACAAGTGTTGTGAGTTGCTTAAAATACGACTAGAACAGTCAGATGCCACTCTCATTGTCATCTTTCAAGAAAAATGAGGATTGAATTTCAAGTTTCGATTTTAATGCAAATACTTCCGCTTTCTTGTGCAAACTCTGCAGTGTAAAACTCTGCTCACATTATACTAAAATATACCAACTAAGTTTGTTTTCTAAGCGACCTAAAGCAAAATGGAAAAGGCTTCGCAACAAGAGCTGGACTGGCAATCGACGAAGAAGACGGTGTTAGAACGAAGTCGTCATATGTTTAATAATCCGTTCATGAGCGACATCGCGTTCAGTTGTGAAGGCTCAGACAAGAAATTATTCGCACATAAATATGTCCTCGCCACAAGTAGTGCTGTATTTTATGCGATGTTTTACGGCGAGCTGGCAGAAAAGAATTCAGTTGTTCATCTGAGCGATACGGACGAGGAAAGTCTGGAGGAATTTCTACGATTTCTTTATACGGACGAGTGTAACTTGACAACAGATAATGCCGTGTTTGTATTGTACTTAGCCAAGAAGTATATCGTGCCCTCGCTCGTTCAGAAATGTTTTGAATATTTTGACGCCAGCTGTGCAGCAGAAAATGTTTTCATACTTTTACGCCAAGCAATTCAATTTGACGAAAATAAACTTGAGGAGAAATGCTGGGATTTTATAGATTTGAAAACAAGCGAAGCTGTCGCTTCTGATGGATTTTCTGATATTAATCAATCAACTTTAGTGCAGTTTTTGAAGCGTGAACCGTTGAACGTCGAAGAAGTTGATCTTTTCAAAGCAGTTTTAAAATGGAGCGAAGCGGAATGTTCAAGGAAGGGAATAGAAGCGAATGCAAAGAACAAACGAGCCGCCATGGGAAATGCAATCTATCAAATTCGTTTTGTTTCTATGACCCTTCAAGATTTGGTTCAGAATGTTTCCCAATCGGGTATACTTACACTAGAAGAAATAGTTTTATTCTATGAGAAATTGGGCGGAGCAGAAAGAACGTCCAAAGTATGGAATATGTCAGAAACAAGAGCGAAAGAAGATATCTTACTAAGATGTGGTATATTTGATAGATATTATGGAAATTGTAGATTTCCGGCGATCGTTGAGAACACTTGGGAGGACACGCTAGGTATATCATTTAGTAAGCCAGTGAAATTTCACGGTGTTCGCTTGCTTGGCAGAAAACAGAAGGAATATAACGTGAAGTTAGAGGTTTGGTCTCGGATAATTGAAAAGAAATTTCATTCAGAGCCGGGTAATCGTGGCATGTCTGGGTTTGATGTCATGTTACCAGTACCAATTAAGGTTCAAGCCAATGTCCCGGTTCATCTGAAAGTCACCATAACCGGCTGTCCTTGCTATTGGTACTCGCATGTGAGAAAGACAGTAGAAACAAATGGCATTACTGTAAATTTTGAAATCGAGAAAAAGAGTCAGTTTGAAGGAATTATTTTCAGTGAAAATTTAAATGAGATGCGGCATTCTTACGATTTTTTAGAATGATGGTGTAAACACTGTTAATCACATTTCAATACAAAATGGGAAGAAAGTCAGGATGGAGAAATGACAAAGGGGTTGGCAATAACTATGCCATAGAGAGATTAAAGAGAATTACACTCATTTTGAGGGCTGTAGGGACAAATTGAAAAATATAACAGGAAACTTGGCATCTTTAGGAGCGACCATTCGATTTTTGATGTGCG